TGCCTCTAATCCTGGGAAGCAAAAAACAAGTACCCGAACAAAGGGAATGAACACTTATCTGTACGTTCCTGATACAGAACTGGAGAAAAAAGAGGAAATTCGGGACACAGAGACACATGGTACAAAAATGGAAACCGTCAACCAACCACAGTGAATTGTAGGGGAAGTATGAAATGCAGGCTCCCACACGTCACAATTCAAAGGACACTTCTGCGGCTGCGTAGCGGTCGCGGAAATGAAGCGTCATAAATGGTGGATTGCAAGCTATGAATCGACCTATTTTATTAGTGCAGCCACTGCACAAACCAAGAGGCTAATTCCTTTAGCACTGTCTCCAAGATTTTCCTGAAGGAATCATATGCGTTATGTGACCCTTGCCTCAGTTTACTCTAATTGGCTCAAAACCAACAATCCATAGTATTATAATCTAATGAGCATGAGACTCTTACGTTTTCTCAATAGGGGTAAGATTTGGATCGACCACAAATAAATACTCAAGAGCTTGTCATTGAGGCGTTTTCATTGAAGCTTCGTAAGTAACCTGTGGAATCCATAAACCCTTGAGCTTGGTCCTTGACAATTTTTGACCAAGACTTCGCTCCTCGAATATTGGAAAGTTGCAGTGAAGAGGAATGGCTTTTGACTCAAGATCGACAAAATTTTATTGAACCCAAACAAAGATGCCGACTTATTCAAAAGAGTGCCGCTCCGCGTGATACTAGCAATGCTAATCTCCAAATTGCAATGTTCATAGTAATCCTTGTTGTCATGTTCCCACCAACATTTGGTTCCTGAGCTTCATTGGGTAATAACTTCTTTGCACGGTGTGATATGAAGTTTCGAGATCTTTTTATGAGGCTGGCTTTGCTATTCTCTCAAAGGCATGCCTGGAATCCAGTAACCGATGTGGTTCTTGCATACGAATGTGAAAGTACTGGTGCGTCAGCAGGAGAGTAAACCGAAAGAAACCGTCGAGAACGCTCAAGTTGGAGTTTGCCCACCTTAGTAAGGTGGCTGTGCCGAGGCAATGAGAGAATGAGCGCGGAGAGTGGAGCATGAGGAGAGATAGCGCAACAGATGAGAGGGCGCCAGCCCCGGACGTAGAACATTACAGCTGCTGCAGCTAACATTGTGAGGCCTTAGCGCCCTTGTCGGTAATCTAAATGCACGAGACTGCCACATTGTAATTTTCCTCTTAGAGCTATCCTAGAGACCGAGGGAGTCGTTCACCCAACTTCTGCGTGCATTGTGTCTTTAATGAATGTCCAACGAATTTATCTATAAAACATTAAGGGAAAGTGCAGTTTCCTTCATCATACAACTAGGTATGACCTGGTCACATTAACCGTGAAGAAGTGTGATAAGGGATAAAATACACAAAACGTAGTAATGGTTAGGAAAGATACTCATCAAGACATCAAATATTTGCTAAAGTGAAGCAACTTTAAGGAGTGAAAGATAAATTGAAAAGCATTGAGCAAGGCCGGAATGTGGGCTAAGAGTTTAGACTTGTCTGCACCTCTGAAATGCGAGTTCGATCCCTGTCCTGCAGAAATTGCAAAAATGGTTCTAGTACCAGCGTCAGGCCCAGGTTGACAGGCCGGCTGATGAAGACCCCAGTCACACAAAACATGTCTAAAGTCGAAAAAGAATCAGTGATAAAGCTAGGACGTCACCCGGAAGTGGCGCGCAGAACCCCCGCCCGAGTTCTGTGGTCAGTATGCGAGGGCTACCGAGGAGTGAACGGCCTCGGCCAAAGAAGCTAGTTCGAATTGGGACTCTGAACGTAGGATCGCTAACTGGGAAGTCCTGCTGATCTGATGACGCGCAGGAAAAATCGAAGGTCACACAAGATCCCAGTGGACTCCCTCCAGAGCGCTTAAAAGAAAGGTACCGGACAGTGGTAAGGCCTGCGATGCTATACGGCAGCGAGTGCTGGCCCCTGAACAAGAATCACGAAAGGCAGCTTCACTCCGCTGAGATGAGGATGCTGAGATGGGCCTGCGGCTGGACGCGACTGGACAGGGTCAGAAACGAGGATGTCAGAGCGGTCATGCAGACTGCCCCTGTCCAGCTGAAGGTGAGGGAACAGCGTCTGCGATGGTATGGGCATGTGCTAAGGAGGCCACAGGACCATAAGGAAAGCGATGGACTTCGAAGCGCAAGGCAAGCGACCGCGAGGAGCCCCAAAGAAGAGGTGGAAGACGTAATCAAGAAGGACCTAAGTGAAGTCACGGCCACAGCAGAAGATGCCCTAGGACAGAGCGAAGTGGCGACGACTGACAAAGACAGCGGACCCTGCGACTGCGCGGGACTAACGCTAGGGAGAAGAAGATTCGGAAACATGGTGCAGTAATTTCAGGACAATTCGCACACACCTCAATTTGATCTGGTCAGAGTAATACGAAGAATATACCTTAATATCCAAGTTAGTGATGTAGTGAACTTATCTACACTCCATAAAGTCGAATGTGATTAGCTAGACGAAAAGTGTGTGAACGGTCACAAGCTCGAATATATAACAATTGAGAATTTATGCTGTTCACCTAATAATATGAGCCATGACAGATACGCAGCACCCATCAAGCCAGGTTGACGATTTTTGCCTCCAGAGAAAAAGCTCCATGATGTATGAATCGCTCCTCACAAGATTCAGAACCCTCTTCGCCATCAAGAGAATTTGTTAACCCACAGCTGAGCTCTTCTCTCCTCCGTCGACCATCAGATCTATTCCTTTTCAAGAGAATTGGGCAAGATGAGCCTGTGGGACCCCGGTGCCGACAGTGGGCGGAATCACACCAAGTCGGACATAAAGTAAGTACACGTTATGGCCATGAGGTACAACCACTGTTCGATACTGGACATTTTGATTTTTACATTGCACACTTTCATTATTACATATCATGCGGAACATCAAATGGTTTCCACGTTTAGCAACAACTATTCAGTTATGGCGAGATTTTGCCAGTTAAGGTGGCCATATAACCCCTTTTTGTACTTCAAAAACACTTTCCCGCAAAACAATATGTGGGTGCTAAGCCTTGATGTATGTGAAGCAAGTGTACAGGAGGGTGAATAATTTTGCTTATGCCTTTACTCCCTACCCGGAGCCCTCTACTACGCGGAAAATTGGACAGCTTGGCCCAACGACATTCTTTGTTGCGTTCTCTAGACGGAAGCCTTCTGTAGCGTCCCACACAGAGCGAATTGTGTCATAGATTTCACAATTAACAACAGTGGGCCGCGACGAGGTTAGCGTGCTCTGGAGTTATTTTCTGCTCCAAAGCTAACGACTAGAGCCTTTTCTACACAACAATTTGGCTTTGTTTGCCTTGGGGACTCAGCTACTAGTTTCCATGATTCTCTGCCTCTTCCGTATGAGCTTAGTATGGTTGTTGGTGTTGTGAAGGTTGGGTGATTTCGTCGACTTTTGATATTGCTCATGTAATATGCTTACCCGGAGGTTCGGAGTGGGTAAGCGTATATTTCGGGTGAGCAAGTAATATAAAAATTTGCCGTAACCACCCAACACACGTAGCACCTGCTTATTTGTGAAAGGTGGATCCTATGTTAACAAGAACTTGTTGAAGGTGTTCCGCTCGTATTGTCTCTTTTTCATAATGTCGACACAGTATCTTGACGATAGACATATAGCAGGTACGAATTTCTTTGACTTAGCTTCAGTCTCTTGTCTGTCAGTTTCGCTGGACTTCAATCATTTTTTTGCAGCCCTTGAAAAGCTTGTTTCTGACACTGATGATGTGGAAGAAGCCGCCCCACCAAGAGTTGTCCCCATGTACGTGGTGGGTATATACTATTTTTGCCTTCAGAACTTCCGCGCATTCTTTGACTGTGTTTTGGTGTCCTTATGTGTTCACGGGGGTGGCTCACCAGAAAAGAACGCGACTTTCTTGCTTTTCGCAGCGCGAAACTTTTTCGTTGCGGGAATCCCAGGTCCGGCCCTGACGCGTGGACTTGGGTATACCGAGGCGAAGAAGTTTGTTGCTGCAGATTGCAAAAGGTCGCTTTCTACTCTAGCGACCCACACTCAGTGTCTACTTGCTCACACAGGGCAGTTAATCCCTTAAAATTGACTGTATACAACTGTGTGGTTACTTATTTGTTTATTCATTATTACAGCAAGAAGCGCCCTGCTCTCCTCACGAACACCCATTGGAATTCACTTACGTCTACTCGTTCTTTCTTCGCCCACCCGGCAAATTTGACCCTATTGAATATGCCCAGAATGTTCAACAAATTGCAGCAGTCCGTTCAGTAGAGCAGTTTTGGAGTGTCTACCGCCACATTAAGCGGCCTTGTGGTAAGGGTTTGGTGTTTTCACTTCTTCTAAATCTTTTCGAAGCCAGGTTGCCAAGAATATAAGAGATCTAGCATATCTTCAAAGGTCCAACTTGGCACAATATGGCTACCCTCCCCTTCAAAAAGCCAGAAGTTGTCGGTGCAGACCATACACCACAAGTGACGACGGCCTCCAAGTAAATCTGGTTAGTAGTGGTTCATAGTGATAGCTGATTTTTGGTAAATGATAGTTGTAATTAGTGACAACTGATAGAATACAACTGCAACAGGCTAATCATTTCATTGGCAGAAACATTTGCATTTTCTG